ACCCCTCAATGGGCTCAAGCAATCTCCCTACATCAGCCTCCCCAGCTAGCTGGGACTACAGGCATGCCGGCTAATTTTTTCTATATATATTTTTAGTTGTCCAGCTAATTTTCTTTCTATTTTTAGTAGAGACAGGATCACGCTCCTTGCTCAGCTGTCTCTAAACTCCTGACCCCGAGCGATCCTCCCACCTTGGCCTCCCCAGAGTGCTAGGATTACAGTGTCAGCCACGCGCCCGGTCCAGACAAATTTTTTTTTTTTGTGTAGAGATGAGGGTCTCACTATAGTTGCCAGACCGGTCTTTTTTTTTTTTTATGTTACTCCTATAATATATCTAATTCATTCCACTATAATTAATTAAGAAGATGAAAGTTAGCATCTCCATTCTTATATCAGCTAGCAGGCTCACAACTAAGAAGTATTTTCATTCCATCAAGCTGTTGAACATAGAATCAGAAAGAAGAGAAATACAATTCCTTTTCCAAGCTCTCCTAAACTGAGATCTGCTTTTGATACTGTAAAATAATTTCTATTCAAACAACTCAGCAAATAGACTTTTCATGAGAAGACACATTAGTGCTCAAGACTCAGCAATCCTCCCGCCTCAGCCTCTCAATGTGCCTGGGATTACAGGCACGGCCGGCGCCAGCCTAGGGAGAGTTCTAACTCGCTTCCTTGAACGAACTTGGGGCTTCCCCGCGGCCGCCGAGCGCAGCCACCTTTGGCCAGCAGCAGCTACGTCGATGAAGTCAGCGTCTTGCCTGCTTGGCCTTGAGCAGGCTCGGCGCCTGCTGCCGCAGCGCCCTGCGCACCTCCGGATGACCTGGTTCGGTGAGCGGTGCACGTGTCGCAGCCGCCGGAAGCCGCCGTCGCCGTGCGTAATAACCGAAGTCCAGTACTGTGTCAGGCGGTATGGGCCTTGACGGCCAGGCGCTCAGCTCCATGATGGCCGAGATGTAGATCGCTCATCGCTCCTGCCCCAGGAGGCCAGCCCAGGGGCTAGCGGCCGCCCCAGCACCAGCCAGAGCCCGCACACACCACACACACCCACACTCCACTCCATCCCCCACGTCCCCCTACCCCCGACGCACACCCATGCACGTCCACACACCCACCACACCCACCTCACCACATCCACATGCCCGGGCGGGGGTCCGGGTGTGGAGGCCGAGCCCGGCAGGGATCTAGCTGCGTCGTCCCGGCGCACCCGCTTTACAGATAAGGGAAGGAGCGAGGCCCGTGACCCGCCTCGGGGACTCACGTGCATGACGTGGGCGCACTGGTTGAAGATCCTCATGTAGGGCTTCAGGATGTCGAAGTGGAAGGCGGGCGTCAGCATGCGGCGGTGCCGGCTCCACTTGTCGCCTTTGCTGAGCAGCAGCCCGTCCCCTGGGCCCCCAAGACTCAGGTTAGGGGGCCTCGCCCCGGCCACTCTGAAACCCTCCAAGGAGGCCCCACGCCCAAGTCTCTCTTCCCCGGAGTCCCCCCGGGTCCCCGCTGGGCACTCACCCAGCCACGGTTTCAGGAAGCCATAGAAAAGCTCGTCCTTGGGGGCCACAGCAGCTGTGGGGAGGGAGGTGGCAACCATGACTCAACACATAGCTCTGACCCTCCACCGTGGCTTGGGACTTCCTGGGCCCTCCTCTCGGAGGGCTCTGACCTCCCACCTCACCCCCGCCAGCCCATCCTCCACACCGGCCCGGAAAGATGCTTAGAACATGCGGATCTGAACGTGAGCCTCCCCTGCTCAAACGCCTCCCATGGCTCCCCACTGCCCTTGTAAAAAAGTTCAAGTTCAGCCTAGCATGGAAGGCCCTGCCCCATCTGGCCCTTGTGTGCCTTGCCTATTGCATCCTCCCCCGTTCCCGTGGCACTGGGCCACGCCAAACCTTTGGCCAGGCTGGGTGCTCTATCGAGAGTGGCCTTCTACACTTGAGTCTCTCCCGGCTCCCTCTCTTCTGCCAGCTCGGGCCATGTGAATCACACCTCCTGTGTGCTCCCAGCCTCCAGCCTCACCCCGTCCACTCTGCCTCCCATGCCCGCCCCCAGGGATCTCCCCCGACGGCCAGGTCTGCGCTGCCCCTTCCTGCTCACGCACCCGCCACCCTCCCGCCCCAGCCGCTCGGCCCGCTGCCAAAGCCCTGGGTGACCTGCCCTTGCCCCCACCTCTCAGCACACCTGCGCCCTCCACCCACCCCCCAGTCGACCTAACTGAACTTTCTCAGCTCCCCCGAAAGGCCACGTGCTTTCTCTGCTCTCAGCCTGTGCACCCTCCCGCTCCCGACACTCCTCCCGCACCCTCCGGTCCCGACTGGGAAGCCCCTCTCTCCAACCATCGCTCTGGGTGGGGTTGTGTCCACCCAGTGACAAACCCCCCTCGAGGGGAGGGACCGTGTTGATCACTGATGCAGGTCGGTGCTAAAGATGTTTTCAGTAAATGAGAGAATGAACGAATCAATCAATCAAAGAATGAATGAATGAAAGAATAAATAGCTGGATGGCTGGATGGGCAGATGGATGGATCCTTCTATAAACTCAACAAATTTGCCGGGCGCGGTGGCTCACACCTGCAATCCTAGCACTCTGGGAGGCCGAGGTGGGCGGATTGCTCGAGGCCAGGAGTTCGAAACCAGCCTGAGCAAGAGCGAGACCCCATCTCTACTATAAATAGAAAGAAGTTAATTGGCCAACTAATAGAGATAGAAAAAATGAGCTGGGCATGGTGGCGCATGCCTGTAGTCCCAGCTACTCGGGAGGCTGAGCCAGGAGGATTGCCTGAGCCCAGGAGTTTGAGGTTGCTGTAAGTGAGGCTGACGCCACGGCACTCACTTTAGCCTGGGCAACAAAAAGTGAGACTCTGTATCAACAAAAAAAAACAGGTTTTAGTGAATGAATGAATGAACCAATCAATCAAAGAATGAATGAAAGAAAGAATAAACAGCTGGAAGGATGGATGGATGGATGGATGGATGGATGGATGGATAGATGGATGGATGGATAGATGGATGGATGGATGGATGGATAGATGGATGGATGGAGAGATGGATGGATGGATGGATGGATGGATGGAGAGATGGATGGATGGATGGATGGATGGATGGATGGATGGATGGATGGAGAGATGGATGGATGGGTGGGTGGATGGATGGATGGATGGATGGATGGATGGATGGATGGATCCTTCTTGTATAAACTCAAAAAATTTAGGGCTGGATGGGCAGGTGCCCAGGAAGGAAGTACCTGAAACTCAAGCGGTGTCACTTTTCCCTCGGGGTGACTCGGACACCCACACGCACACACTCCCCAGGAATGGGCCGGCTGCTAGCCCAGTCATCCCTGTACCCGTCCTCCCACTCCACACACCGCTCCTGCTCCTTCCTGGGCCCAGCCCCGCGGGCGAGGCCAAGGACCCAGAGGCGGCTGGGCCCCACGCCCCACCAGAAGGAAGAACACAGGCGCCCAGGCGGGGCGGGGAGGGAAGCGGAGGCACGCCTCGCGAGCCTTGGGAGGGCAGCGCCGGTGCCGGGCGCCGAGGCCGGCGTGCAGAACGGGCTGTGCGAAGCCAGGGCTGCTCTTCCTCCCGACACTCAGATCTGCCCACCGGCTGCCCTGCTCGGACATCTCCCGAGGTTCCCTGTCACCCCCAGGACAAAGCGTGAGCTCACCCACGTTGCAGTCCGGCGAGGCCTCATTTCCTACTTCCCCCGCACACCCCCTCCACGCCAGGCACCCCGGGTCACCTGACTCCCCCTGGGACTTTCACACAACTGCCTTCTTCACACTCTCCACCTGGGACTCCTCACCTGGCAAACTCCTACGCATCCTTCAGAGCCCCGCTTCACGGAAACCTCATCCAAGCCCCCTTCCCTGCTGAATCCTTGCTCTCCCGTCCCCACGTCCCTCCTCCGCTCCAACCCTGACCGCATGAGGTCAGGGCAGTCTGTGCCCAGCTTGGCCCTCTCATCCATTTCCCACCCACCCCCAGTTAAAAGGGGACAGTAATGATGACCTCGGAGAGGCTGTGTGGGAGAAGCCCCACGTGGTCGGTCCCCAGTGTGGAACAGCTCCTGGCCAGGAAGGTGTCCGTCACTGTGGTTGGCAGCTTAGGTTCCGGTCAGCTCGGTCCAGGTTCAAATCCAGCCCTCCCCCCAACTAGACACGGAAGTCTGGGCGCGTCCCCACGTCAAAGCAGGAAATCGATCGGTCCTCCCTCACGGTGTCCCTGCCCGGCGCGGCGAGCCCATGTGCTCCCGGCACCTTAGGCTCTCATCGAATATGTGTGGGCGTCAATGGATGCCCGGCCGGCCGCTGGCTGTTTTTACCTCTGTAATTGCGGTGCTCTCTTACTGCCGCGACAAGCTGGGAGAGGGACTGCTCTGGTGGCCTGTTAGTAAAACACGCGCGCGAGGCCGTGGCGGAGAACAGCAGAGCCGCTCCTTAAAGAGTTAAATATAGAGACCGGGCGCAGCGGCTCACGCCTGTCGCCCCAGCACTTAGGGAGGCCGAGGCAGGAGGATCGCTCAAACTCAGGAGTTTGAGACCAGCCTGGGCAAGAGCGAGACCCCGTCTCTACTCACACTAGAAAGAATTAATTGGCCAACTAAAAATATATAGAAAAAATGAGCCAGGCGTGGTGGTGCATGCCTGTAGTCCCAGCTGCTCCGGAGGCTGAGGCAGGAGGATCGCTTGAGCCCAGGAGTCTGAGTCTGTAGTGAGCGAGGCTGACGCCACGGCACTCCAGCCTGGGCAACAGAGCAAGACTCTGTCTCAAAAAAAAAAAATAATAATAATAATAATGAAGCTCTCACACCTGCTACAACGTGGATGAACCTCAAAAAGATGATGCTTATTGAAAGGAGCCAGACACAAAATGCCACATTTTATATGACCCCTTTTCTATGCTATACCCAGAATAGGCAAATCAGAGACAGACAGACAGACAGAGAAAGAGAGAGAGAGAGAGAGAATCAGAGATTACTAGAAGGTAGGAGGGAGGGAGAAATGAGAAGTGATTACTTAATGAGTATAAGGATTTTTATGGGGTGATTAAAAATTTTGAAACTGGAAAGAGCCGGTGGTTGCACAACCCTGGAAATACACCGAACGCCGCTGACTGTTCGCTTTGAACGGCTGATTGCATGTCACGGAAATTTCACTTCAATTGTAAAAGAGCATATAAGGGCAAGCTGTAATTATATGCCCATATATCATGGCCAGTCCTCCGCAAAGCCTGCTTCCCTACTTCCTCTCGCTAACCTCCCTGTTCCAGGCCGGGCGCGGCGGCTCACGCCTGTCATCCCAGCACTCCAGGAGGCAGAGGTGGGAGGATTGCTCGAGGTCAGAAGTTCAAGACCAGCTTGAGCAAGAGCGAGACCCCGTCTCTACTAAAAATACAAAGAAATTCATTGGCCAACTAAAAATATATAGGGTCAGGCCTGAGAACGGGCACAGCCCGAGGAGGGAGCTCGGGTCTGTCTGGGGGCAGTCAGGGAGGGCCTCCCGGAGGAGGAGGCCCAAGGGAGCGGGCGTTGAGGGCTGAGCGAGAGCTAGCCAGGCGGGTGCACGCAGAAGGCCCACACTTCGGGATGGGTGTGGACTGCACAGAGAAAAAGTGATCCTTCCACTCCTCCCTCCCTGACAGTCGGGGCCGGCCCCGGTGATGACAGCAGGCCGCGGGCTGGGCCGCCAAGAGCCCCGGCCATGCTGGGGGCGTCAGAACCCAAAGGACCGGACTGGGATGAAGCAACACCAGCAGCTTAGCAAAGCCCCAGGTGAGCAACCAACCGCAATCTCTGAACATGCTTGGATCTGACTTCCAGAGAGGCGGACACATCCCCTCAGAGTCCCTGGGACTCTTAGTCATTGTCACGACTTTGTGCTGTTCCAGCAATCCAAAGTGCCATTCCTGTGAACTCCTATTCATCCTTCCAAGCCCTATCCAAATGGCCCTTCTTTCAGATAGCCCACCTGGCCTAGAAGTTGAGGCCCCGCCCACTGTGCAGAGGCCCCGCCCACCTACCTGAGGCGCCCACCAGGGGCTTGATGTAATCGGGGTGCACCAGAACCACCAGTGGCAGGACAGGCCCCATCCACACCAAAACCACGTGGTGCATGTTGTCCAGCACCTTCTTCTCGTCTTGGAGGCCCGTCTCATTCGGGAGGTACTGCAAGAGGGAAGGCGGAGACGGTGGGGAGGGCCGGCCCCGCTCCCTCCCGCGCTCCCTCGGAGCCAGCTGAGAGTCTCCATGAAGTTGCACAGCAGGAGCCCCAGCACAGCCCTGCCACGAGGCTGGCGTTTACGAGATGAACACAGGGGCCGCGTGGGGTGGCTCACGGGCGTGCTCCCAGCACTTTGGGAGGCCAAAACAAAGCAGGGAGGCCGAGAGTTCGAGATCAGCCTGGGTGACATAGCGAGACCCCATCTTTACCAAATAAAACGAAAATAAAATAAAAAAACTTAGCCAGGCAGGCATGGCAATGCACGTCCGCACGGCCGGCCGCTCAGGAGGCTGGAGTGAGAGGATCACTCGAGCCCAGGAGCTCGAGGCTGCCGTGAGCTGTGTCACACCACTGCACTCCAGCCTGGGCAACAGAGCGAGACCCCATCTCTAAGAAAGAAAGAAAAGAAAGAAGGAAAGAAAGAACCTGCTTCCCAAGTGTCCCTGGGACCCCCAGAGTGTGACTCTTCCCTGCCGACGTCTTTCCGGTGCAACTACGCCCGGCCGGATCTGAGACCGGGGAGGAGATCCTGGGTCATCCCTGGACTTCAAACGTCCATCCAGGTGTCCCTTGCCAGACAGCAGAGGGAGGCGGGGGACGTGCAGGAAGGAGAGGCGCCGGCGATCAGACTGACGCGGCCACGAAACGGGTCCTCCCCCCGCCCCGCCCCCAGAGAGCCGCGGCCCTGCCCGCAACTTGGAATTCAGACTTCCCGGCCTCCCGGAACTGGGGGGGCAATAAATTCGTGGTCGTTCCTCAAGCCCACCGAGTCTGCGGGCATCTGCAGGCACAACCGCGGGAAGCTCGAGCACGCACGGGGCAGACGAGTGGACGGGTGGACTTTTTTTTTTTTTTTTTTTTGAGACAGAGTCTCGCTCCGTGCCCAGGCTAGAGTGAAGTGGCCTGGCGTCAGCCTCGCTCACAGCAACCTCAGACTCCTGGGCTCAAGCGATCCTCCTGCCTCGGCCTCCGACGGTAGCTGGGACTACAGCAGCGCCACGCGACGCCCGCTCGAATTTTTTCTGTATAT